TGAAGAAGAGGAACAGGATCGGGGACAGCGGCGAGCCCTGCGGCAGTCCAGCCTGTGGCAGGCTTTGGACCTCAGATAATTGGCCATTAATTTGGATGGTTGCTGTTCGTTCCGAGCAGAACGCCTCAACCCACCGAAGCAAATCCTCCGGTATGCCTCGCGCTTTCATCCTTTGGAGCAATCGTTCTTTGCACACTCCATTGTAGGCTCCTTTGACATCGAAGCTGATCAAGCTCAATACCCGTCGGCCGCGCCACGCCGTGTAGATTTGCTCTTGCAGAAACACAAGTGCTTGCTCCGCAGACCGCTGTTTTCGAGCTCCGAAGTGGCTGGTTGGGAGCAAGCCGTACGCCTCCACCGCGTGTGAGATCCTTTCTGCAACCACTGACTCCAATATCTTGCCCAGCGTCGCGAGGAGCGAAATTGGTCTCCATGCTTTAGCAATGTTGTAGTTCTCTTTATTCGGCTTTTTGAGCGGTATGATCTTCGCGTGTCTCCACTGCCTTGGCAACGTGCCTCCTTCCAGCGAGGCTTGGAACAGATCAAGAACCCTGTCCTTGACCGTGGGCCACGTCATCTTCCAGACTATAACCGGCAGGCCGTCTTCGCCAGGCGCTTTCCAAGACTTCGCCGCTAACAGTTGCCGCTCCACCTCTTCCATCGTGATCGCTGGCATTTCTACCGGTGCTCTTTCGGGTCTCGTCCCTTCATCGTCAATAATGTCCGGCAGAGGCGGGAAGAAGGTGGTCAGCAATTCTTCTGCTTGCTCCTTGTGATCGGTGGTGGTCGATCCGTCTGCTCTCAGGAGCTGCGGGACCTTTCCAAACGCTGCGTCATCTCCCGACTTCAGGTATTTTGCGGCTTTCCATATGTTATCGTTGTCTGCGAGGAATTCATTCCAGTGCTTTTTCTTTTGTTGCCGGATAGCATCGTGGTATTGCTTCGCAGCGCCTTGGGCCATCTCTTCTAGATGGGGTACCTTTCGTCCCGCCCGTCGCTCCGAGCGGGCGTGATTTCTCCAGTATGTGTATATTTGACGGAGCTGTGTCAAGTCATCTGTCCACCATCGCTTTGCGTGTGGTGACGGTCTGGCCTTCGGGGTCAAGGCATGCACCACTTCCCAGACCGCGGACATGAGTCGATCGGTTTTCTGCTGCACGGTACCCTCCAACGGCGTGGCGGCTAGGGTGTTCGCAATCCTAGCATTGATCTCTTTCCATGGAGCGTTTTTCAGCAGGAGTCGTTCCTGATGCTTTGGGGGCGTCCATGGGGCATCGAATACGGTCTCAATGGTGCAGTGATCCGACCCATGCTCTGTCCCAAGTATGGCACATTTAACCATGGAGTCTGTTAGGTCTGCCGAGGCCAGGACGAGGTCGATCGTGGACTCGCAGTCCCCATTCTGTCCTGCGCCATGCCATGTCTTTGTTCCTCGTTTGAGTAGACTGCTGAGTGCAAATTCATTCATGAAGTCGACGATTGGGTCCGCTTCACCTTGTCTTACCAAAGACACGTCGTCTCCTCCCCAGAGTTGATCATGACGGTTAAAATCCCCCACAATTATGATCTCCAACGCTGTGCCTGTGTTCCGCCGTACCTCTGTGATCGCTTTGCGTAGGTGATCGCAAGTTTCGAGCAATGCCGCGGCATCTCCTCCCTCTACGTAGACTGATGCTATAAAGATCAGACGCTCGGGGAGGCGGATGACCGCCGCGGTCAGATCCGGCGACTCGATTGATAGTTGTTCCGCTTCCACATCCTTATTGATCCAAAGCATACTTCGGATTGCCCATCGGCCCTCCCTCCAGGTGGAGGGAACCAGTTTCGTCCATTTGTGATGTCCCATCGGGGTTGTCAAAAGCCGGCCTTGAATTCTCCTCGCTTGGGGTTCCTGAATCGCTAGTGCCACTGCCCGCTGGGTTTCTTCGTCGTTCATCAAGCTGTCGAGTACCGCCCCCTGTTTTCTCACATTCAGTTGGAGTATTCGGAGAGTTTTATTCATGACGTGACGGATAGAGCTTCCGGCAGTTTTTGCTGTACGATTCGTGTGGACCTCCGCATGGAACGCACTTTAGAACCGTTTGGTCGCAGTTACTATGGCGATGGCCCTCCGTGGCGCATTTTGCGCACTTCTGGACGTTCTTACACTGAAACGCTTTGTGGCCAATCTCCTGGCAGTTGTAGCATTGCATCGGTCGTGGTCGATATTCAAAGGTGCTAGTCACGCCAGACTCTCCTCCAGCGTGAAAGAACCCGTCGGCCAGGAGCCTCCGTGCGTCAGTACCTTTGGTAAGGTAAACGACCATTGATCCATAGGCCTTCGCACTCTCCTTGCTACTGAGCCATGCGATCTTAGCTACGGTAGCTTCGTTCTCCTCGCTGAAGGCTGCCGTAGCTCCGGCTCGGATCTCATCATCTTCATCTAGCACTGCGGCTTTGTTGACGCTATCGACTTTGATCGGGTAGAGCTCGTCCCGAAGTACCCGGGCTCCCGCACCGATCTTTGCTTCCGCCACTTTCTTGACTAACTGGTGTTCGGCTTCATCGCGACACGCTATTCTGATCCGGTTCGTGTTCTTCGGGTCTACAGTGACGGCGCGACAACGCCAGTGTATGTGGTCTTCCATCTTCCGGATCTCTGTCTCGATCGTCGCCCGGATTGGGCCTGCAGACATCCTCTCGTTTCCATTTTCTGTCATCCTCGAGGTGTCAATTGTGCAATACAATGTGTCGGTGAACGTGGTCGGTGTTGTGTTTAACGTTGAGAGCGTCCGTATGTTACTAGGGTGACTAAGTGGAGGAGTACGGGCGACATCTGCATAGGACGGGGAACCAGTAGGAATGGAAGGGCTGATAGCATCGCGCAGGGATTGAATCTCGCGGAGGATCTCATCGTGGTTGTTCTGAGCGCATGTCTCGGCGTGGGATTGCGGTGTCAGGGGCCTATCCGTCAGGGTCTGTAGCTCGTGTCGAACTTCGGCAAGGGCGGCGCTGAATTCATCTTTAACCTTTTGAAGCTCTTCCTTGTGTAATTCATCGCGTCGCCTGATCTCTCGCCTGAGTTTAATGAGTTCTTTCACGAGTGTGGCGGTGTCGAGGTCCTCACTCTCCGTCGCGGAGTCATCCGAAGTAACCGCGTCACGTTGAGTTGCTGGCTTGTCTTGCGTTTTCTTCCTCAGTTGAGAGCGTGTCGCTCTCTGGCCATTGTCGATCTCTTGATCCCGAGCATAGTTACTCGGTGGTCTGGTAGTGCGTCTCGGCCTCGATAATCTTGGCGGTGACTCTTCGTGTTCGTCGCGGTCGGGCGGTTCAGGGGTTCGCGTTGCGGTCCGTCCCGCCATTATGCACAATCGATTCCGTCGCCACGTGGCACCGGTTTCGTCGCTACAGTGTGCTACCACTCAATTTACAGTCGATCTTTGTACAGAAGTTTTCGTATTCAGTTTGACCTCTCACTCTTTAGACTTAATTCCCGGAAAATAACTCCGAAATTCGCTAATCCTGTTTAGGGTCACCGCTCTATTAGTTAGGCAGAATGAACTGGGTATTGACTTCAGGACCGTATTGTAATATATCTGTAATAGTACATCCAATCCCCTAGAAGCTGGGTAGATCTGGCAAGATCGTCTGCCCGCTTTCCGCCCTCCCTCCAGTCCAAGGTTGCCACTCCCCCTCATTCTTCCTATATGCAGCGCAACCTTTGTGTATCTCTGTACGCCAGCCAGTCATCACATAGAAGGCTATACTTACGCTGTATAGAACTAACCCTGGTATGGAAGGATATTTACATTATATCGCCATGGATTTTGTCATTTGCGGCGCGTCTCATTCGTTGCCAGATATCGAATCTAATCTAGCCCACCCCGTAAGCTAACATGGACTTCCCAAGGATCTTGGTTACTTATTAGGATGAGCCTATATCACGTCGATCATGAATCTTAATCAACTCGGAGTACGTGCTAAACCCTGACTACTGTGCCAGCCCTTACGTCGCACGGTCTGCCCTAAGTCTATTTCCGTCCAGTGTACTTAAGAACAGTATCGACCCTAAGAATAAACCTGGCCTACATACTCCTTCCGACTCCTTCCGTTACACAAGCGGGAAGAGGGAAGAGCCTATGATGGGGACTCCCTAGTCCGTATCTACTATGGTATAATTAGAGTAGCGAGTGATAGTTAATAATCGGGAAGTATCCGTAGACACCAATGAAGATGTCGTCTTGGCTCTCAGTACTTTCTGGTAGCTGTTATTAGAGAAAAAGCTAGAGAAACCGCTTCGACGAGAAACCGCTCGCCCCTGCTGAGTATAAGACTGATGACATTATTATCGTTGTATCGATAAGCGATCGCACGAAACGCAAACTACCGAAACGATTTAACGATACTGATATTACTTAGTCTACTATCGAGAAATAGCTTCTGGTGTGGTCGGATCTTTTCTCTAAGGGTAAGGAACTTATGCTAAAGATCAGTTTTAAATATATAGACGATCATCATTCTTCTTAATTCACCGACCGGAAAGCAGAGGAGAGAGGGAAATCCTCCGTCACACAAAGGATGCTTCGCGAGCGAGACATATAGCTAAATACGGAGGAACATACTTTAGGCGAAAGCCGATCTAGTATAGCATCTATAACTTAATACGATACGATTCATCAATACGTCAGTATAATCCAAATTATCAAGTAGACCTAAAAGGGAAAAATACTATCTAATCAAAGCTCGTCATGTAAAACGCCGTATCACTCACGTTGAGAAGGGAGGGGTTTTTGAGGGCCATAAAGACGTGCCAGAGGCGGTCCGCGACGAATTATACAGGAAAGAACAAGAGAGACAAGAAAGACTGGGGAAAGAAAAGCGCATAGGAGGTCATATCATTAGCAGTGGAGTGCCGTATCCTCATAATATCCTGAATGTCCTGCCTCGCCGCCCTCCCCTCTCTCTCTTCAAGCAATTTCAAGATTGCTTTATGGCGTAGCTGTAACGACTCCCTGCCGGGGTTATCGCGCTTGCTTTCTCTTCTGAAACAATTGGATATCTCAGTTTCCATTTCCTGTCTTAGACGTTGGATGTCAAAACCTGCACCACCGGCAAGTAACAGACGTACAATTTCGAGGTGGCCCTTTGCACAGGCGGCGCCTAAGGGCGTGCTTAACAACCAGCCCGGGGAATTGACATCGGCATGATGATCAAGCAAGAGCCTCACCATTTCAAGGTTGCCAGCTTGAGCAGCTTCATACAAGGGGCTTTCTCCCCATGGACCTCCTGCATCAATATTTGCCTTCTCAGCGATGAGCAGCCGCGCGATATCTTGTCGGTTCCTTCGTGTCGCAATAAAAAGGGGAGTCCCGTCCTCGCCCTGGATATTGACATCGGCAGCGTAATCAATCAGGAGCCTTATAATCTCCATATTCCCGATCTCAACTGCTTCATGCAAGATGAAATTTGATCGGCTACGGGACAGACCCGGGAGCCAATATTTTGAATCTCCTGCTGCGTTGACGTCGGCCTTTGCAGCGATGAGCTGCCTCGCAATATCCACGCGGTTACTTCTCACCGCAAGGTAAAGTGGAGTTGAGACCTTATCACTCCGAACATCGACATTGGCATTATTGTCGATTAGGATCCTTATAACATCCGAATCGCCGCTTTCCACGGCGGCGCTTAGGGGACCACCGAAATCCTCGACCAAAACGTTGACATCGGCCCCATTTTTGATGAGACTGACCACAGCCGCTCTTATGCCGAACTTGGCGGCATAATACAGCGGGCATACGCTGCAACCTATCTTAAAGGAGCGGCTTCCAGGACCTAAGCCCACCCACATACCAAACGTGCCCCGACTGTCGTTAAAAAATTCAACCACCTGGTCCTCAACAGGATATTTGCTTTTATCTCCCTTAATATAATGATAAACCCAGTTTTCTGCAGCGTACTTGGAAAATGGAAGGTCGAAAACCATGACGCGGTCCCATCCCTCGAGGTCTCCCAAGTCCTCAGAGTGGAATAGCATATATGTGAGACAAATACAACTGAGCTGTGCATGACCAGTAGTTGCGGTCATTGAGTAAAATGCAGCTTCGGATCGAGATATACGATCCGACTGTAGATACTCTTGAACTGAAAAGTGGGCAATGCGTACAGTTTCATCGACCTCGATTAAGCCAGGGCAAATCTTGTGGAGCGCATTGGTATCTCGAAGTTTACGCTTCGTTTTGTATTCTGGAGACTGACCCAATTCCACGGTCATTGCTTCGATGAGCTCTGGAATTTTCAATGGTCGTTCGGAGAAGCACAAAATACTCAACAATTGCTGAGCGTACGGCGCAACGTAAGGTTCGATGTTCATAAGCATACGCTTATATGTCTCATCGAGTGATGGAGGAAGGGAATCCAGCAGTTGATCTAGCATTTCTTCACACTCGGGGCAAGTCTCTAGGGTCTTGAGTTGGCACTCAACCCATCTGAAGCTGTAAATTTGATCAGAACTTGCTATAAATAGATGAAACCTTTATGTTGATACTTACACCCCTTCAGCACGCGAGATAAGGGCCGCTTCGACCTTATCAAAGCAGTCTTTCCACTTTCGAAAACGTTTTTGACTTCGGAGAGTTATGGACACGTAGGCCGCAATATCACTGTCGACTGATTCGTTTCTCATTTCAATAATGCTATCGGAGGGTATATCAAGTTCCTCACGAATGTCAGGTTCGTCGCGACTGGTAACCATAAGATGTAGTCCCGGTTCTTTCCAAGATCGAAGATCCTCTAAGGCCTCAAGCACACCGAAACGTCGATCTCCTCGGGGACTTTCATCAAGTGCATCAATAAGAATGTGAACATCTTGGAAAGAGTGGATGAGCTGACGGAGGCAACCTAATAGCGCCTGATCTGGAGGCTGAGAGTTTTTGTAACTCTCGTGAAGGCCATTAAGGACCCTGTAGCTGTCCAGTTGGCTTGACAACTGCAGCACTAGAGCCCGAAGCATAGCAGATGTATCTTGCCTAGAGAGCTCGTTGAAAGAAAAGAAGAAGAATGCAATTCCAATATGTGGGTTGGATCTTCGGTGACGAAAGGTATGTTGGATAGCCGTGGAACACAAAACAGACTTTCCGCAGCCTGCAAAACCTCTCAGCCAGAGAAAAGAATTTGAGTCAGCTAGCCACCTGGAGAAGGATTCTCCCTTAACGAGCCATAGTCCAGATCCCTGGTTCCTTTTCTGGCAATTTTCTATGTAGGTCGAAGCCACATCAGGGGATTTGAGCCATTTGCCAATCTCAGCCTGGATCTGGCTCGCTTTGATCAGGCTCAGCAATGCTGCCATCTCTCCGACCCCAGTTTGCAAATCATCGATGTTCTTTTGATGACAAATTTGAAGATCTAAAGAGAGATACTGCAGTACAACGTCGACATCTTCGCCGAGCTTTTGCAAAGTGCTCTGTCGGAATGGATATTGCAAGCGGCGACTAGTCGCTTTGAGAGTATTTCGGATTCCATTTTTGCCGTCTTCGAACTTCTTGAACTTTTCAACCTCATCTCGGAGCTCGTAGATGTATTCTGTGCAGTTATCAACAGCCTCTTGAATCGCGGTCTCAAATTTCAGCTGGTCGGCCGAAGATTTGTTACCCAATAAGGACTCAAGTGATTCCAAAGTGTGCGATAGATGATCTAGCTTGTTGACTGTTTGGGTTATGGTCGAGTGTTGGCTTTTGACTGTCGTGTAAAAGTTGACTAGGTACTGTGTGCACTGAAGGCCCAGAGACACAATACCCACGGCAGTGCCAGTTAACGAAAGCGGGTCGGACATGTCCTGGGACCGGCTGAAAAAAGTTGCATAAGGGGGAGAAAAGGGAGCAGTCGCTCCCAGCCGCAGGAAATGAGGGGCAAGGCTTTACGGGACGAACGAGCTAGGCGTCATCTTATTGGTAGAACAGCTGCATGGTGTTGGAGCCATGTCCGTGACATGTGGAGAAGTTGCTTTGGGGGGAGGGCGGAGAGATGAGAAATAAATCGATTGTAATATTCTGTTGTCCCTTTCGTTCGTTAAACTTCTTTCTGTGGAGGGCAGCAGCTGGAATAACGCGAATAGCGCAAATAGACTCACCCGGCAACAACCCGAGCATGCAGCGCAGATCGGGACGCAGAGAGACAGCGATCGCAATTAAGCCAAATGGACTGATAAGTGCACCCTCTTCCATGAAATAATAGGGAAGTGAGGCCCCTAAGAGTGTCCTTAAACTCGACTTGCCAATAGAGGACCGACCATAAGTACTAGGTAAGAGAGGGGAGAGGAGGTACCGTGTGTCTGCCAATTTCGTGTAAAATACACCAGCTATGGTATTGAGAATGTCTTGGAAAGTACGCGGACTATTGTAGAAAGCGGTCTAGAATAAAGTGCTTAAAATAGTATCCAATCAGAACTCGCATATTTGGGATCTATTTTCCGGGAGTCAAGTCCAAAGAGTGTGAGGTCAAACTGATTCCGAAAACTACTACAGAGAATTTCGAATTCAGTTTGACCCCACACTCTTTAAACTTAATTCCCGGAAATTAAATCCTAAATTTGCGAGTCCTAATTGGATACTATTTTAAGCACTTCGAAGTCGACCGCTTTCCAGAATAGTCATTATATTTTACAACATGTACCTTTTACAACGGGGGATGTATTTTACACGAAACCGTCATACACGCCCTCCAGTACCCTGTGTACCCCTCTCCTCCCCCCCTCTCGTGGTAATCTGCAACTTCCTGCACGGAGGCTTCCCACTTCCCGGTATTAGTCCAGGCGATATGGCTCCGAGACTGTCACCTTCAAAGCTTGCTCTTATCCATGATATGATAGAGGATGAATCCTTCACCACATCTGGAATGGCCGAACAGGCTGAATGCAGCAAGCAGGCCATCATCAACATCCGCAACAACTTGCGGCAATTTGGAAGCATTTACGCACCTCAAACTCGAGTAGGCCGGAAGCGAACCGTAACGCCCCTGATGCTCGATGCACTCTGTGACCACCTATCCGAGAAACCCGGCCTCTACCTCGACGAGATGGTCATATTCTTGTGGGATGAGTTTCAGACCATGGCTACCACCTCCAGCATTAGAAGAGCCCTTATCGCCAAGGGCTGGTCTAAAAAGACCGCGAGACAACGTGCCAAGGAGCAAAATGCCGATTTACGAGACTATTACCTGCATTACCTCTCTGACTTCAAATCATACCACCTAGTATATGTTGACGAATCGGGATGTGACAAACGTGTTGGGTTCAGACGGACAGGTTGGTCACCACGTGGCACGACCCCGTTGCAAGTAACACAATTCCATCGTGATAGGAGATACCAAATATTGCCCGCGTATGCACAGGATGGGATCGTTCTCTCACGTGTCTTCCGTGGTTTTACGGATGCCATCGTTTTTGAAGACTTTATAGAGCAGCTACTTCAGCATTGCGGTCGATGGCCAGAACCTAAATCCGTCCTAGTCATGGATAACGCATCATTTCACCGATCGGAACGAATCGAAGGAATGTGCGAGGATGCAGGGGTGAAACTGGTCTATTTGCCACCGTATTCACCGGATTTAAACCCAATTGAAGAGTTTTTTGCTGAGCTCAAAGGGTTCATTAAGCGTAACTGGAACTACTATGAAAAGGATCCCGAACGAGGATTTGATGCCTTTCTGGAATGGTGTATTAATGTGGTCGGTGCAAAAGAAGAGAGTGCCAGAGGCCATTTTCGACATGCGGGCGTGAACATAGATGTTTGTCATGCTTGAAGCTCCTTCTGATCCCCTCCCAATTAATCCTCTAGTGTTGATCAATTATTCGCCCGGAAAGACTCCTCCAAGTCCAACTTCGCCTTTTCTGCGTCTACATTGTTGGGATCAATGACGCATTTTGCCAGGATTCTGTGGCTGTCCTTCTGAGCGGACTTTTTCACTTCGGTGTCTTCGGCGTCCTTGTTTGCTTGAAGAATGATCTCCTGTTGGGTGTCGCTGACTGTTGCACCCTTGTCAATTCGGAAATTTTTCTTTTTGTCGTGGCTCTGTGAAGGGTAGAGTCGCTGGCCTTTGGTGGTGTTTTCGGCTTTTTTGAACACTTTAGCCCATGGTATGCCTTCGGTAAACGCACGGAGGGTCTTGATAGAGATAGGCATCTAGTACTGTGAGAATCAATAGTCCAACAAGGACTGCTGAACACGTACCTTAAGACTTAAATGGCCGATGGTGGTAAAAAATGATTGCTTCTCATATACGTTGCCCAACTTCCAGACTACAGGGGGACATCATTCACGTTAAATGTTGAGGGACTACAGAAGAAAGAGGGGCGGGCGCTTAGGAAGGTTCATCGAAAATAGAGATCTTGCCCAATTGATGCTGCGTCGTAGTGCGTAAGATTCAGAGTTGGGTGCTAGAATATGCGGCAACCATTTACGATCGAAGACTTGCCGCCCACAGGGCTCATGCAAGGCCAACAGTGTGTTGATTAACGCCTTTCCATCAGCGGGACGGCATATACATTGTAGCAACTGGTTGTGACTAGCCATAGCCCATAAAATAATTGACAGTTGCAAGACGATGCCTCTTTCTTACTGTTCGATAGCCTGGAATCAGATAAGTTTTGGAGACGATCAAAGTAGCCAACCATGTAGCTTAAATGTGAGGCAGGCTACTTGCAACCCGGGGTTACTAAGCAAACTGTTCCAAAATTACTAACCGCTTCTAGTTAGATTACGGCTGCCGTACCCGCGGGCTCCAGCAACTCGCTGCTGAGCTCCTTGGTTCCATCACACAACCAACGTCCAGCGATGACTGCAGATGCGCGGCGTTCGGTCCTTACGACTCTGCTACGATTGAAAACTCATACGGCCTTCCTGCTCCAGCCACGAAGACCCGTACTTCCCGCCCCAACTCTCCAACCATTCCCAGCCAGCGAAACTGGTCGCAGATTTCGGAAGCTGCTCCCTGTGCGCACCCTATTTACCTGCCAGGAGAAGATGGCAGCAGATGATCCGGATATCGAACAATTATTTCGCTATACAAGTGGGCGATGGCTCTGGGATGAAGAACAGCAGCTCCAAGACAGATACAAGGCCTTTAACGTCACTCAGCTTCAAACCTTGGCAGCTCAAGCAATAGGTTCGGATGGCTGTGTCTCGATCACAAAGCTGGCAGAGGGGGGGTTCAACAAAGTTTTCCGCCTCCAGATGAGTGATGGGAAATCGCTTTTGGCGCGTATTCCTAACCCAAATGCTGGGCCCGCCTTTTACACAACTGCCTCCGAAGTTGCTACTATGGAGTTCGTGAGTTTCCCCTAGCAAATTTGAACAACAGATGACTCATGTCGCTCCAAGGTTCGAGACATTCTCCAGGTGCCAGTCCCTCGAATACTGGGATGGAGTGCAAGTTCCCAAAACGAAGTGGGGTCAGAATATATCTTCATGGAGGAGGCGGCCGGAAAACAACTAGCAACGCAATGGGATGACCTAACTCCTGATTCAAAGCTAGCTATCATGAGAGAGATTGTGGCTATAGAGACAAAGTTATTGTCGGTATCTTTTTCGCAGTATGTTCCTATCGCTCTTGTTGTTTCTTGTTTTACATGCTTACTTTGTGATTACTAGCTACGGGAGTTTATATTTCTCGAGTGACAAAGTAGATGGCGCGGTTCCGGCTCAAATCACAAGCGATGCCCCTATTGAATTGAAAGAGCGGGTCTCTAAGAGATTCACTATTGGCCCAACTGTCGAGCGAGATTTCTGGAAAAAAGAGCGTGGTACAATGGACATATCACGAGGTCCTTGTAGGTATTATTTCCCTACTATGCAGATTTCGGCGTCTAACTGCTTGAAGGGTCAAGTGCCAAGGAGTACGCATCGAGTGTTGGTTGGCGCGAAGTTGATTGGATAACAAAGTACGCCGTTCCAAAGCCATCGGACGATATTTTGAGCTGTACATCCCAAAACGAGCCACGTGCGCATCTCAATCTGCTGGAGAAATACCTTGGCATTGCCCCCAGTCTTATGGACATTGATCCCCTCCTTAGCCGTCCCACTCTTTGGCACAGCGACCTCCACTCATCCAACTTTTTTGTTGATAACAATCGTATTACTGCAGTCATTGATTGGCAAGGCTCGTGGGCCGGTCCACTTCTACTGCAGGCACAACCATCTCCCTTGGTGGATTATCAAGGCAGCATCCTACTTAAGCGCCCAGCCAATTTTGACGACCTTGATTCCGAGCAACAAGTTCAAATTAAGCGACAAATTTTCAAATCGACTCTTTTCCAGCTTTACTTGATGGAGACTGAGAGAAGGAATCCGCTGCTTGCAAAAGTGTTCCATCTGAACCATGGAAAAACAAGACGTCTTGCCGTCGAATTGGCAGGGAATACCTGGGACGATGAAATTGTGCCTTTCCGAGAGGCACTCATCAATGTTGAAAAGTATGACTCCGAATCTTGTAACACCGACGAAAGCTGACCATACAAATAGGCATTGGCAAGAGATGGGGATCCAAGGTAATTGCCCTTATCACTTCACGGAGGAAGAGTTAAAAGGCCATGCTGCAGATGCCGAGGGTTGGAATGAAGTTCAGGACTTTTTTGATAGCATCGAAGGCCTCGTGAAGAGGGATGGCTGGACCCATCTTGAAACGTTTGATGCTGCCTTTGATTTCTTCTCCAACCTCCGGAAATTAGGTCTCAAGAGCATGAAAGGCCAAGAAAGAGACATTTTCGACAAACAAACCAGCTGGGCGAGAGGCCAAAGCTGAGACTCTAGACCGGCCAGGCTGGCTCTTGTCCCTTATAACGGCTAAATCGCGATATATCTGTATTCAACGCTACACGACTGTGCGTCTCGGCGACACCTTTAACTCTTCAATTGATTCATAGATCCAATGCCAAGATCCACTAATCTTAGACTAAACACGAACCGGAATATCGATATTCCTGCATGTACAGTGCCATATCTATCACAGTAATTTACATTATATCGCACCATGCAAACCACAGGAGTTTAGTTAACTAGTTAACTAAGTTAATTTTCAATGGTAATGCTGACAAAGTCCGACCCGAACGCGTCAACGAATCAATGGACGTTCGATCACATGACTCCGTGTAGTTCAGAGTAGGTGTCTTCAGCCAAGATCAGTGGATCAATCATCGACAACCTCGGGCGGATGTCATAAGAAAACCGTATCGCCTAATACGGCAGCGCTGACACTACTCTGCAGGCTTGCAGCATCCAGACTCTCCACGCTGTCCAAATTGTGGAAAAGAAATGGAAGGAGCGCACGAGCCGATTTTTCTCCCTGAAGTCTTGCCCCGCTGCCTGAGGCAGATGACGCAATCCCCGCCAGTTTGTCTGCTTCAAGATGGGGATTTTCAAGCAATCCAGATTTTGAGGGAACATGGACAAAAAAAAGGCAGTTCCTCTCATAGCATTACTCAGGCCAGCAACCTTGCATCTGGGTCGTCTGACGTTATCGTCATTCTCGAGCGCCCTCGTTTTGTCGAGTCACATTCCCCCAACCAAAGCTTTGATGGCTTTGTGAATGGCTGTGGCACTTTGCAAGTAGTGGACGAGTTACTCCGCTTTGCTAGTCGAGGGACTCGGAACATTGGTACCGTTACTGTCATTAATGCATTCTCATTGCAGCCTGAAAAGAATGCCGAGGCAGACCTTAGGTGTGAAGAAATGCTTGTACGGTTTCTGCAGGTGAAGAGACCCCAAGTGATCATTCATTGTACAAACTCAGCATATGAGAGTCCGTGGATGAGCAGATTCAACTTCGGGGGAAAATGCTACAGAATACAGAGCGAACAAATCGAAATAGTCGAAGGGCACACCGCTATTGTGATACCTTCTTTTCATCCGTCGCTTGCCGTCAACCGCTTGAAGAACAGACTAGAGCTGCGAGTTTTACTCATGTATCACTTCGCCTTGGCCTTCCACTCTTTATGTGGTAGAACGGCCAATCTGTGTTGCGCCAAAAAAATACAGGGTTTATGCCTCTACCAGGGAGAAAGAAAAGAAGACAAACCTCTTCTCAGTGACTGGGATTTGGCATCGTGCATATCAGATAAAATCAACAAATCTTATCTGCATTGCGGAAAAGACGTCCTGTCACTCTCAACGGCCGTATTTGGCGAGGAAACCCTTTCGGAGAAAATCAACAGGGAATCAGACACCTTCGATGCCTTGAGTTTTTGGTTTACCCTCCTTCTCGAGAAGCCGCACAAGTTTGAACTTTTTGGGATTGCATCGGCCAGGTTCCTATTACAGAGAGCGAACGTCAAGTTCAGCCCCATTTATTCGAGGATGTCCCTAGCGTTGCTTAACCTGGTAACAGAGCAAGATCATTGGTTCTTCAAAACAGAAGACGTCGACGTGGCCGATCTGGAAAGGAGATTTTCAGCTGTTGACCTCCATGTTGACCCGCAAATAATCGGCGTCATCAATGCAAACCGCAAAGCTTGTATTGCAGTTGAAAAGACCTTAAGTCTTCTTGAGCGCGGCCAAGCCGTTGATTTTCGCATCAAAAGGTCTCATCACTACTACGCGGTTCTTTCACAAAATATTCCCCTGGCTGAGTACCTGGCTAGCTCGCAAAGAATTACTATTCCTACAGCATTGCGCATGGAAGCGCTGTCAAAACGCTGTTGGGTCATTAATGAAATGTTACGGAAACAGAGTGAAGAGGAGGGGCAGCTACCATATAGTGAAGTAACATTTCACGTCAAACGCTTGTTGGAATGTCTCAAAAATTTGAGAATGGTGCTTGAAGCTACTCTTGAATAGATAGCTGTAGGTTTATAATTTACTGGCACCCTAAGCGATGTTTCTCATCATGTTCGCCTTCAAAACGCCGTAACGCCTGAAACAACTTCCCGCCCAGTCTAGAGTATTTCATATATGGGAATCGCTTTCTTGAATTGCTCAGCCCACTTTCCGATGTCCTCGACAAAACGTCGAGCGATGCCTATTTTTATCCCCTTTTCAATGAAGAATTTTGGGTCCTGGTCCTTGTAGACCTGCTCAAGGTCGAGACCATTGTCGATCATCACTTCACATACTTGCCGAAATGCGGATTTGAGTGTGTCATTTTCAACATTCGACATCTGCCACTCACCGTACTCCTTCACGGCTACGTCTCTAGGGCCAGGAATATCCAATGAACTGATCGCCGTTGGCTCAACCGCTGCCTTGGGAGCCGAGACATCTAGGCCTTCGGCAGCAGATTGAGAGGGCAAGACATTGATGATGTTGCAGGGATATGGTGGCCCAGTCCCAACGACATGACCTCCTTTGCGCTTGTCTTTCCCTTGTCTCTCTTGTCTTTCTTGTTCTTCCCTGTACAATTCGTCGCGTACTGCTTCTGGCACATCCTCATGACCCTCTAGAACCCCGCCTTTCTCGACGTGGGTGATGAGGCGCTTTATGTGATGAGATTTAAGTGGATAGTGTTTTTTTCCCATAGGATCCACCCAACAATGAGGTCCATTTGGACATGTCGATGAGTCGCATCGCACCAGATTATATACGCTGCGCCATATTGGCTTCTCGCCTGAAGCATGTTCCTCCGCATCAAGCTGGGCGTCCCGCTCACCGAGCATTCTTTGCGTGACGGAGGATTTTCCTCTTTTCTCTCCTTTCCGGCCGGTGGACTGAGAAGAATGAAGATCGTCCACGTAGTTGAAACTGATCTTCAGCGTAAGTTCCTTACCCTTAGAGAAAAGATCTGACCATGTCAGAAGCTGTTTCTCGATAGCAGACCAAGTAATATCGGTGTCGTCAAATCGCTTCGTCAGTTTGCGTTTGGTGCGATCGCTTATTGATGCAACGATAACAGTATCATCGGGTCTCACCCGACGGTGGCGGGCAGTTTTTCGTCGAAGCGCTTTCTCTAGCTTTTTCTCCAATGACAGCTGCCAGAAGGCGCTGGGAGCCAAGACGACATCTTCCTCAGTGTCTGTTGATACTTCCCGATTATTAATTGTCACTCGCCACTCTATACGGTAGTGGATACAGGCCGGCGGGTCCTCATCATAGACCCTTTCCTCTTCCCACTCGTGCAACGGAAGGAATCGGAGAGGATGTGGGCCACGTTTACTCCTGGGGTCGACGCTATTCTCAAGTACAGAGGATGGGGATGGGCTCAAGGCAGACGGTGCGGCGTAGGGGCTGACACAGTAACCAGGGGTTGGCACGTAATCCGAGTTGTTTTCCCACGTCTCATGTTCAATAGACCCAGATACATGATCGACGTGATATGGGCTCATTCTAAGTAATCAGGATCCTTGGAACGTCCATGTTAGCTTGCGGGATGAGCCATGTCAGATTCGAGAGTGGCAACGAATGCACGAATGAGACGCGTCGCAGATGACAAGATCCACGGAGAAAAAGTAAATATCCTTCCCTACCAGGATTAGCTCTATACAGCTTTAGCACAGCCTTCTGTGTGATGACTGGCGGGCGTACTGCGATACACGAAAGGCTGCGCTGCATACGGGAAGAATGAGGGGAAGTGGCAACCCGGGGCGTGTGGGAAGGCGGAAAGTGGGCAGACGATCTTGCCAGATCGCCAGATCTACCAAGCGATTCTAAGGGATTCTATGTACCGTTACCAATTTATTACAATACGTTATCTCTGTGGTATAGCCATTACCTCCACTTTTCTGCCCAACTAATAGAGCGGTGATTCTAAACAGGACTAGCGTATTCCGGATTTATTTTCCGGGAATCAAGTCTAAAGAGTGTGGAGTCAAACTGAATTCGAAAACCGCTGTATACAATGAGTACTATACTTTGTTTTAAACATAAACAAATTGAGATGGTACGCAGTGGCAACCTCCACACAGGCTCATTCGCTAACAACCTTGTCCTTCTGTCCTCTCTTCGAGCCAATTTCCAACATCCGCTGATTCAGTGTTGCAGCATCAATCCGCTCTTTCATCTCTGGTGCCAGTGTATTCCTGAGTATAGATGCCAGTGGATTTTCTTGATGACTTAGTTTGGACCTGGCATTCTCGACTTGCTTAAGCCACCGAGACATCAAGTCAATAGCTCTTATGTGAGAGGGGACGCCGGGCGTCGACGGATGTATATCTGCAATCAGCCAGCTTGGTGACTTTTCGGGCAAGGATAGGTTGCCAAGCATCCATGCCGCGACAACTCCCAAGGCCCACACATCACCAGGTGGGCCACGTGAGCGCCAGTCGCGCATAAATTCGGGTGGCAGATACCACGGTGAGCCCCCCGAGGGAGAAGGAGAGCCATGCACAAAACTAAGGCCGAAATCGATCAAAACGCCTCCCCGTGAGGGGCTATACAATATATTACCTGGTTTAACGTCGTTGTGAACGAGTCTGCTGCGGTGCAAAAAGTCAAGTGCGGAAGCGATATCAGCGAAGATCCTCCGTGTATCTGAGCCATTTCCAGCAAAACGATCACTGGTTGGCTGCCTGAGATGTACTAGCGACTTCGCATCCATGTGCTCAATATATATACTTTGGAACCGGGCGTCAGATCCCAGCATACGGAGGATCGCTGGCTGGCGAGCGGGTCAGTCTTGTCACCAACAAATTAAAGTGATAGTACAAACATGATTCTTGATCGAGGAGTGGATCTCTGACTCGCGCATCCAGGATTCAGCCGCCCGAACTGAGTGGCGCTCATCGGAACTGGCGGCTTTTATGACTTTGACAACGACGACACTGCCCGGTATTTTCGAATACCCTGCCTGCCACACAGACGAATTTGCTTGGTCTGAAATGGTCAGGTGGCGCATAAGCTGATACCCTCCGCCGCGGTCCGTAATATATATAGAATCGCCTTTCTCGAGTTTTAAAAGAGCGTTCCCGGCTGAGACAGCCTGTAGACAACGTGAAGCGTCGGCCGTTCGGTATGCCGATTGTCCTAATTTTACCCTCTTTGGTGGTCGATTGGGGGATGGTGGCAAAGAATCAACTCGAGTAGGGATTGCCCATGAAGTTCGTGGGAGTAGCTGAAAGTCAACGAGGGCTCTGCCTTCGATGTCAATGACCCAGGAGCCCGTGTGGAATGTGGCAAGCTGTCTAGGTTGAACTTGCACTGGCCCCTCCACATCACTTCGCCTACCGAGAATGGCACGTGAGCAGTCATTGCGAAGGATGACACGATCTTGCGCGGGGTCGAAGTACAAGCGGAAATTCACATCGTCATGGGTTATGATGCATCCGAGTTGCTCAGAGCTTGGTGTCACGACGAGAACCTTGACAGGTTCATCTGGACGATCATCCATTTCGACTTCAACCCAGTTGTCATACCGCCCAGCCCCTCCGTATGGAGAGATGCCGAGCCCTGAGATCCTAGGATACAACAAGATCCTAGCTGACGGGTCAATGGGCGCGACAGAGTGTAGACGTAACTTATTGAAGTCCAAACCTGAAGCTTGGTTTCCGGTAGCCTCCAGGTAGAGAGGCGAGAATGCTTGAGTGGGCTCGTCCGAATCAGGATCGTATTCTGTCAATGGCAATGTAGCCTCTTCATTTTGGATACGCTCCTCGGTGTACACATTGATGTACTCTGTACACTCCTCCGTGCACTCCTCCGTGTGTTCTTTGTCCTGAACTGCAGTGTCTAGCTCTTGTTTGTGCTGCGAATTAAGTGACATTGTTAATGAAAATCACTGCTCATACTTAGCGTATATGTGTCGGTCCCAACCTTGGTATTTGTATACTGCGATCTACAATGGAACCGAAGCGCCGGCTAAGCGCCCACGAAAATAAACAAGGGGGTCTTCGCAGCCCAACCTGTGGCCAGGCTTACTTAAAAGCCAATGGGAAGAGGCAAATTCTTTCTGCCCTTCATTTAAGCAACATTGATTCGCTCAGCTCAACGTCCAAGGTATATGACCTCGCCCTGCCACTAATAATAGATACAAGTCTTCATCAACCAGTCCATACTGGTGGCAGAATGTCCGATTGAATTAAGTGGCCGTTCACCGCCCCAATAGGCGGTGAGCTCAGCCACGCCGCAGTCCGCTGTAAACCATCCGGGTGTCTGTAAAGTCTACCATTCCTACATTCTCCATGGCCAGCTGGTTTCAGTCTAGGACGATAGATAATCACCTGGAGGCTCATACACCTCAACCCGACTATGAGCTGGATCAGGAGTGGCAGTGGCCCTTCTGGAAGTTTGGTTACGATGATCCCAACGTTCTGTTTACCACCCTGCATGCCGAGTTCAACTCTGTAAAGTGCGCGATCCAAGATCCTTACGGCTGGCACCATGACGTCTGCGATATTGCGAATATCGCGAAGGACAAGAATGAATTCCTGATCCTGCTCAAGACGCGACAGAACGAGAGGTTTGAAGAAATCCAGGACGCCTGGGAAAAGACCAAAGCACTGTTGACTGGTGAGCCGTCACATTGGAACACAGCGCCGGATGAGACTCTTTTATGGAGTCTTTTTGTACGTCTTGCTCGAAATTTTTCCTACGACTCATTTGTCGGTTACTTCGGCTCGTATGTCACGAATGACCGGCCCCCGAATCCTCCTCCACCGTCAACACCCGCCGAAAATCGTCCAGCCAGGCAGCAGCAGCCGAAAGAATCGCCCGGGAGAAAAACAGCAACGTCAACCCGCATCACGAAGCGCTCAATATGTGAACAGCACAAGGGCCGGGATGGTTTACGGAGAAGTTCCCGTTTGCAACAACAACAACAACAACAACAACAACAACAACAAAAACAAAGACGTGAAAACTCAAAGGCAAAATCAACAACTGGAAGCACTCCTCGGTATTGACCTGGGCGCCAAATTGGCTGTCTCGAAAGTGATCAACAAGAACTAGCGCTATAACGTCAACAGCGCCGTAGTTTTCAATATGACACCGATGGGAGGACTTGCAATTGCTTCAGTAGCTGCGAGCTTTGATATGGAAAAAATGGGAGACAATCTATTCATAGACGTGAATAGCGATAACGTGTACTCGGACAATCATTTGCTTGAGGCGCTTGCTAGAGTGTCTTCGATAGTGTTGCAATCCCGGGGTTCTGTCACTCGTAATTGATGCCGTGATCGTGGTCATTAGGCAAGAGGTTTATGAATAGCTGGCCGGTGGTGCTACCAGTCTCGTTTGCACGTAAGTGATGAGAGGTAACTGGCTCATGTTTGGCATAAGACCAAGGCTGATGAGGTAAGATCGCTTTTCAGAATAATTCATTTGAGCTACCACATACCTTATCAGGATTTGTGGTCGTCAGACTCGCTTTTCGGGAATCAATTTAGAAGGCCATTTTTGTTGGGTGGCGGGGGACTGACTTTGCAGTACATAATGTACATATAATCCCTAGCTTAGTATGCAGTACGAAGAAGCGGATAGAAATGGATATTTGCTGTGAGTGTGATGACGGCAGCATACCAGCGGATAGTGTTCTTTTCACTTGGGGGCCTCGGTTCTTCGCCGCTGGCAAAAACTGGGGAAGTCCCTTAATATCACGGAAACTATGCGCTCATCCATTGAGAGAGCTGGGTTCGTTGACGTTCATGAAAAGACTACGAAGTGGCCTATTGGGGCATGGCCGAAAGACAAAGCATTGAAAGAGGCCGGCTTAGTCAATATTCAGCATTGGCTTGCGGGCATGGAGGGCTACTCGATGTACCTACTTACTAAGTTCGGAGATCCGGTGCCATGGACAAAGGAAAACGTGCTACTCTATGTTGCGGAGATGCGGAAAGCACTCAAAAACCCTCACTTTCATGCCTATCAGCGCGCGAAGAGAATCTGGGCCAAGAAGCCCCTGTCTGAGGAGAGGACCGTGACCAATGAGGACCCTGATATCGTCAAACAGGAATGAAGTTTTTGTGAGGTTCATATATGGCTACAGTGATAGTCCAGCATTAGTCTTGACTTTAATCATCTGCTAAGTGCCATTAATCTCAATTTCTCTTAGAGCCGTATCAAAAGGGTGCTCCTCGATAGTCAAAAGGTTCTTGCTTGTGGGGACATGGGGTGAGCCAGCTTCGCACGCACACGCATGTGTACATAGACCGTATCAAACTAAATACTCCAATATTAATAGGAATCCATTGTTGCCGGCTGGGAGCTGGCAAAGGCCCGTTTGAAAAGTTGGAATCTTCAAGGTTGCACATAGGTTCCTTCAATTAGCTGGTCGCAAAAAATCATCGACTTACCCGATCGCTAGTACTGTACTGTACGTGAATGTTTATTCTTTTAATGCAAAGGAAACACCGAGCCAGCGAAAAAGGTTGGAAGCGAATGATTACCTTGTGTCAATTTTTATGTTCATGATTTTGATGAGCTGGAAGAGTCTGCTCCGACAGATTTGGTTTGAATTGACTCTCACTCTGATTTCAAAGTAGCTTAATCCAGAGCATGCAATACAGTATTGCATGGGGAAATTTTGCTTTCTGTCGGTCTCGCTCTATTTGATTAATGCTATGTGTCACTTTAAGTGTGATGTTTTGAAGGTTGTTCAAGAGGAGATTAATTCCAAGTGACCATGTCTCATTTGCAGATACTGCACAGTCTATTAATACAGATATTGTAGATAGAGTTGTCCAATGGAATTCCACCTAGAGTGTGATTTTGCCATTTCCTCACGTTTTCCACGTCTTGCCCGGAATCTATGACGGTGAGAGGTGAGAGTGATCGGCAGACAATAATACCCCAGATACCTTATAAAGAGAGAATCGCAACCAATATTATGGTCATATCTCGAGTAAGTTCCCATCATGAGCCAATCTAAAAACGAGCCCCCTTCCTGCTCGCAGGAAGAGTTCGTTGACCAACCTCCGCTAAACCCGAGCGAACAATTCAAATGTGAGACAAAGAATAACGAGCCAAGCGAAGAGGACACATGCGCGGGACGTCAGAAAGCATTTCCACTTAGCATCACTCTATCCTATGTGAAAGACTGGGACACAACGGATGCATTCCGAGAGCTGTATCAGAATTGGTAATGCTGAACTTCATGTTCGAGAGCTTCAGAGGCTAACAACTAGCAGGAAGGACGCTATCTTGGAACAGTTTGACGTAGATCGTCTAGCATTTCAGCCACTTTACGAGGACAGAGAAGATTGCGTTTCTATCATCGTGCCAGATGTTTCAAATCGACAGGAGCGCTGTCGAGCCCTAGGATTCATCCGATACGACAAAAAGACTGGCCGAACGATTCTAGTCAACCCTTGTGCACAACTGAAGCCTGAGGCTCTGGAACTTGGGCATTCTTCGAAACGAGAAAACCCCAATCTGATAGGCTGTCATGGCGAGGGTCTCAAACTGGCTGCTCTAGTCATGTCACGCAATGGCTATAGAGTAAAGATCGCTACAGCCAATAGCCATTGGAGCTTTTCTTTTGTTGGTTCTAGGTTCCGTTGCATGATTAAGCCATCAAAGATGGTGGAGTCTGGCCCTGAAACCGATCCTACGGAGGATATGGCTCGAATGCACTCTCATATTGAGAGGGATGTCGTGGTCATGGTTGAACCCGCAAAGGGTAAGCACGGCAAGAAAATTTCGCTTGCAGATTTTCAGACATGGGTGGAAGTGACACTTGATATTCGTGGAATCTCCTATCCGTCTCAAGTTATCGAAACCGATGTTGGAGATTTGATTCTTGATCCCCACTTTTGTGGCAGAATCTATCTACAAGGTATGCTGCTGCCAGCCACATCTTCCAGGCTCAAGCCATACAAGCTTGGTTACAACTTCACTCAGGGAAGGGTGAACCGAGATAGGCAAATCCTGGTTGATAAGCACGAGGAAGCCAACGCTGTGAGACAGATTTGGGAGTCTGCAATCCAGAAGAACGAGAAAGTCGTGCTTCCGGTCTATGTCGACTTTCTGCGGAACTTTCCTGAAGCGCCGGATGTTGAATCCGCAGACGTTCTGTTGGGAGACGCTACAAAAACCCTTATTTGGAGACGCCTATTGTGCGATACAGGAGGTAAACAGTTCTATTATAGCGAAAAGTCCCCTTCCCAGGTCAGTGCAACTAATCATTCCATGATTTTATTTACCTTCCTCTAATGAAACTGGGGCAGAGTATTGGGATTATCCGAGATTTACTGCGAAAGGAGCCAGCAAGGCTTCCGGAACTCCTTTGGAATTTGCTCCGGTCAAAGTCCCTTCTTCGAACACCCGAAGAGGAACAGATTAAGCAATTTAGAAATGCACATGTATCTGTGCCGTCGACATGCTTTGCACAAACGATACAAAGAGCAGTCAAGGCTGGCCTAGCATTCATTCCTTGGGCACAGGATGTTGAAGTGCATTTTGTTCAATGTGACAAAAGTGCTGTGGACATTCTGTTTGATGCTGAGCAGAAAGCCTTGAAGATAAACAATAAGTGGCTCGACTTCCAAGAGATACATCGAGGTAGCCCGTGTCGGGAAGCTTTTCCGACACAAATGACTGGGAGAGAGGCGCCATTTTTCTGCGAGCATATTATCGACGAGCTACTCAGAATTTCTTGGGGCTCTATATTCCAACATTCAAGCGTGTGGAGAGCGACTGAAAATAAAGCCCTGCGTCAAATTCGGGACTTACTCAGGTATATGCCTCATAGTATCAAAGTTACGCACACCAATCAGAAGGGGTGCTTGATGGTTACCTGGGAGGATAATGAGACGGAATCGTTCAGAAAGTCTTGTGTCCCTAGTACGATGTATCACATCATCCTCCACGAAGAAAAGTGCCTCAACGCAAGGGCAGAGCTTCTACATGGAAATACAGGTATGTCATCGACGGTATATGTGTTCCGTAAGATACCAATCACTGACTGAAAAGCAAACTTGGGCAATGGTTATGCGCCATGCGGATGTCCTCAGAAATTTGCTAGTCAAGCCAATAGGTTGGCAATTTTCGGGTATTTAGATTGCGCCAAAAGCTACTATCCCATGATCGCCTTGAATCGCCCACATGCTATATATGGCTTGCCTCCACAACCAACTATTCCAAACCCTTGCCTTCCAATCCCTCAAGTGGAATATGAACGAGAGATGCATCTACGCACTGTGTACCAGCAACAGCTACAGCAACATCGACTTTTCACCCAGAATCGGGCTGCTACGCAGGCCATGCAGACCGACAATGCCGGAGGTCAGCCTGCGTCTCCGCTTATGGCTCAGCAACAGCAAATAGTTACACAGAGTCGGGCTTCTGTGACTGGAATGCAGTCAGCGAACTCTCAGACTGAAATCTTTTCCCAGTCACAACAGTTACCCCACGAAGCGAAGACATCGCAAACTTCACTGAAGAGGGAACTTGAGACTTCACATGAGACGTTTGAGGATTGTCCCAGGAAGTTGCCAAAAGAGTCTTAATTAGTGTAGCAGGCATCGATTCCAGCTATGAGACTATAAAAACTACTGTATGTATCCAGCCTGCAAGCTTCGTTTGTCTACTATAAATCCAGTTCATTCATCTCCCGGAGGATCACTATCCCGGACATTCATTAATTTTCCCACTCCGCCCACCGCCTCATACCAGATATTCTACCTATTAAAACACACCCTGGTATTATTTCACTTTCAACTCAAAAGTCAGCGAATACACCTCTGATGCAATAATTGCTTCAATTAAATTTGAAATAGTCATGGGATATTTTCTAATTGTTTCGATATACTAGACGGTAGCTTAGAGGTTAGGCCTTCTAGGTGGGGGACGAAAATCAAAGTACCGTCAATGTACAGTACATTGGCGACGCAAAGGTGTGCCCCTCCTTGACCGCCTTCCCAAGATAGACTACCAGTGTTCGCCTAAAATAGAAGTGATAGAACACACTATACTACTTAAGATAGCTATTAGTCCATCATAGGAAACTGGTGACCAAAGCGTTCAACCTGGGGGTCACAGTTTTGCGACGCCGTTGTACTGTACAGTCCTCCCCCCTCCCGAGACCCACCACACCAACGGTGATAAGACTCTACCGCCTATCAGACTTGTCTCTGAGTCATGGTATACCTGGCGTAAAGTAGATGAGAAGCTCACTGAAAGTCTAATCTAGACGTTCAGGGATATTTCTATGGTCAAATGAGTAATTGTTTTTGTATCACAGGCGTACTATAATAGCTTTTAGGTTAATCGTAGACAGACATTTCGACTCGCAGAATATTATGTAATATTCCTGCGTGGGGCTCGGACTTTTTGCGCCGTCCGTGTAGCACGAGCTTCCCCAATGCACGGTAGTACATCGTGGACATTTCTTCATCGGCCATCTGGCTATGACCGTTATTGATCCTCAGATTTAGCGCGCTAAAAATTGTTCCCCTGGATTCCTCTCCCGTCGGTGTATGTATGTAGTGGTGTTCCTTTTCCCCAGACCTTGATAAAATCTGCCTGTGACGGCTTACGGCGACGTCTGTTGTCGATCATACGCTCGGAATTACGAGCCGAATTACCCACCTTTTGCTCAACTTTTGCTCCATCTTTTGCTCCATCTTTTGCTCCATCTTTTGCTCCATCTTTTGCTCCATCTTTTGCTCCATCTTTTGCTCCATCTTTTGCTCCATCTTTTGCTCCATCTTTTGCTCCATCTTTTGCTCCATCTTTTCCTTAATCCTTTGCTTAATCCTTTGCTTAATCCTTTGCTTAATCCTTTGCTTAATCCTTTGCTCAATCTTTCGTTCTTCACTTCTTCCGACCTATTCGCCCACCCTTTGAACACAATTTGGGCAACATATGCTAATTTAGATTTGCCCACTTCAACTCAATCTTAACCCCTACTTTACGTATCTTTTCTCCGAGTTTTCCTCAACCTTGCTTAACTAACCCGCGTTCCTGTTCCATGCTGCGTTTTACCCTCTATGTTTTAATTAATCACTTAAGACCATG